AATTAAAAAAATATACAAATAAGAACTTTTAAATAGTTAATTTGATATTAATATTAATATATTTTTTGCAAATTTTATATGATATTTTCAAATTTATATTTTATTCAAAAATAAAAACATTATCGTTTTCTCAAAAATACATAAAATCGTATTATATCGACATGGATAAAAAATAAAACAAAACATTGAAATGGAAATGTGTCTCGATGCATCGCACGAGTACCCTTCTAGTATATATATATATATATATATATATATATATATTATAATTTAATTATGGATTAGCTAATTTGGAGATTCAGGACTATTCTAGCATTTTCAAAAAAACATGAGTGTTCTCGTTTGAACTCTCGCTTACATATACATATGAGCTTGTTCAATTGTTAGCCCAATAATTAGTATTAACTATGTGAACTAATCTTGGCCTTTAATCTTTATAATCTATGAATAAATTTCATGGCATTTTTGTAATAAATTAAAAAAGGATGTTTAATAGATATAAGTAAACAATCATGAATAAAGGGTAATATTGAAAAAGATTGGGGAGATTTCTTTTAGCATCAATTACTTTTATGGTAATTACTCCATCATTTTGAAACCGTCATCAAGCTTTAATTACTCTTTCATTTATTAATATGTAATGTGTAACTTATGAATGGTGTGAACTAATGAACAATTGTCATATATGAGTAATTTATGTACATTGTTCACCAATGAAAATATAACATATATGAACATTTCATTAGTGAACACATACCTGAATGTGTACATATGTGTGACTGGTGAACAGTGTTCACCAATGAACAAATTATCAACGTGAACAATGTTCATTATTGGGCATTGAGTGTATGTTCATGCATGTCGAATGCTACTATATTCATGTTGATCATCCATATTGTATAGTACATCAGATGCAACGAACTCGTTCGATTAAGAATAGTGATTGTTGATTGATTATTTTGCAAAATACATTCATTTATGAACAATCACTTGCACCTAATTGATACTTTCAAAATGGCTAAATTCAAGGGTTAATGTAACTCCATTTTAAATGCATTAAAGTAATACAAAACATAACCTTACTATCTTGCCCTCAATCATTAATTACAAATGAATCTATAAATCATGGTACTAGATAGATTCCTATGGTCTAAAGAGTTTGTATGGTTAACACAAATGAATTAGTTAACAAAAGATCACATGTCTCTCTCTCTCTCTCTCTCTCTCTCTCTATATATATATATATATATATATATGTATATCTCAGAGTTCAACTGAACACTTCTTCCAAAAGTGACATATAAAAATGCTAATACGACCATTTACTTTTTGTATTATATTATGTTGTTCTAGTTTATCGGTATAACTTGTTAGGTCCCTTAAGTTCATCCTAACAACTTAACATAACGTCTTTAGATAGGATATTGGTCTTTCCTATATAAACTTAACTTCCTGTTAAATACTTTATTTGTAAGGTGGTTGGGCCTTCTATTGTGTTTGGTATATGGGACATGACAGAACAGGAAAAAAACTCATGTCGCACGTTTGGCGCGACATGAGACAGGATAAGAACTAACTGTTCTAAATTTGGCGCGACATATGACAAAGACAAGAATTGGAACAATGTGAGACAACGTGGAACGGAACAAGATGAGACAAGAATAAGACAAAATCTAAAGTATTACCAATCTACCCTTCTTTGATATATAACTTTAATATGATATTTGTTTTAATGGTCATCACTACCGGTCGCAGTCGTCACCACCACCAGTAGCCACCAACGACCATCGTCAGCCATCCCCACCTCCTCTTCCACTACAACTTTATTCACCACCACCACAACCACTACTGGTCACCGTCCACCGCCACCATCACTACCAACGTCGACCACCTCCACCACCTCGAAAATCATCACCACCCTTGATTACCACTATCACTGCCCACCACCTCCAATACATTGGCCACGACTACATCCTCCACCATTGTCGGTCGCCACCACCACCATCACCATTATCCACCATCTTCATGTCCTCCACAACTATCGTTGCCCACCAACCATCAATACCTCTACCTCTACAATTATCGTCGACTATTGACCATCACCTCCGATTTCCACTATCACTAGTACTATCGGCCACTAACACCTCCATCTCCACCCTAACCACCACTACCACCGGCTCCGACTACCACTACCTCCACCATATCGGCCACAACTACCTCGCTCACCAATGTTGATCTCCACCACCAGTTCACCACTATCCACCATCTTCATGTCATCCACTGTTACCATCATCCACCAACCACTATTGCATCTACCTCTACGGCCATTGATGTTGCAACAATCTTCACATTTGTGTCATTTATAACTGTTATATGATATATATATAAAATCATCAAATAACTTTTAGGGGCAACTTGTCTAGTTATGTCATATTCAGTCCTAGTCGTACCAAACACCAAACAGACATTTGTACTGTCCTGTCTAATCCTACCTTTGTCATATCCAGTTATGTCAAGTCTAATCCGGTCCAATCATGTATGCGTACCTAACAAAACATTTTTCTTGTAAAGTGTATTATGTCAGAGTAGATGCTTTTTTTTTTTTTTTTTGCAAACTTAATGATGGAGGACTTTATTTATGCAAATAGTAACAAGTAATGACATATTTATATTTCTTTCTAATTTTTTATTAGATTTTAACAATCATATACTATCTTTGAGTAATTTCGACCAAGAAAAACTTTTGACATAGTAACAAAGTTTAATGTGTTTTATAATTTTTTTAATAATCTGGATGTATAACCCGTTATGCTAGCGACTAATCCTAGGACGACCACCTATTTTGCAGGTAGTCCGGAGTTACGGTATTTGAACCTCTGTGACCACATTTATTCCTCAATGAATTGGAATGTGAAACCTCCCGACATTTTTGATATTTGGAACCCAAACCAATTAGGCACATCTCGATTAATCTTATGGGACCTTAAGTTATTTTTTATAACCATGGATGTCATGATCAGTTTAAGGACATCTCGATAATCTTATGGGACCTTAAGTTAACAGTTAGAAAACCTTTGATAGCCTTGACCTTGAGAGGACTCGAACTCATGGCACTGAAACAAAATTAGTTTTATAGGATGCCTAAAATATATAAATGTTCTAATGAAATACTATATAAGACTTAAGTTGTTGAACCAAACTAAATAACGCCATATCTAAAATTGTTACAATAGGTTTATAGGATGATTTTAGGCGTTTCAACAAGTTTTTTTATTATATTTTTAAAATAAAGTGTCGTATTGGTTATTTTATACGATCCTATTTGGAAAAGTATCCTATAATCACAAGTGTCCTTGCATTTGTAGACCTTGTTTAGAAACTTATTTTTTTTACAAATTAACCTCTCGGTAAGTTAAAGAGTTGTCAGTTGTGAAGATAGTAACAAAATATTAGGAAAAAAATAACAAAATTAATTCAAAATCTAAAAATGATTATTCAAATTAATTTCCATAATTACGTAATAAATTGAATTTATTTATTTAATTCGGAGAAGGACACCTAAACAGAAATAAAATAAATTAAAGCAAGTCATAAGTAGAGCTGTTGGGGGATATTGACTTGCCCCATTAATTAAAACTATTTGTATTGGTTATCAACTTCTTTTATTTTAATAATTAAATAATTTTATTTTATTATTAATGTCAATATATTTGTATTTCTTATATAATATTCCTATTTAAAACGCTTGTAATTTTCCTTTGTATTAAAAATATTTGCATTAAATATTTAATTGATATATATATATAGAGAGAGCGATGAGTTATTATGCAAACCCTTTATATTTATACAACCAATACAACTCAATCTCAACCGTACATTTAATTTGATGAATATGTGATTTCATATAAATTTTTATTATTTTCCAATATAAAGTATTGATCATAATTAATGAACTATATTCATCTTTCATAAATATTCAAATCATAATAAATAAACTCTCATCATTTTCATAAATATCTCATTTGATTGAGTTGCATTGGTTGTACAAATAGATATGATTGCATTTGAAATATATTATATATATATATATATATTTATGTGTGTATATATATTTATTTAATTGATCCCTAAACATTTTATACACATTTTATACTTCATTGTTTATCAATATTAACGGTACGTTCAACAATATATTACAATTTTTTAAATAA